TGGCAGCTTATTTAAAAACTGTGAGCTGTGGAGCACATATGAGGCTAGTATGAGAGCTAATGATCACTGTAGAGACAGCAATTTCAAAACAAACCACAGAGTAACAACTCTAAAAGCTACTAACCCAAAGCCTTCTAAGCAACAACCACCACTTTTCAGTGCATTCAAGATATTGGATATATTCCATTTCTCTTCAAAATTATCCTTTTGGCTGTAAGAGGGAGTTTATTAATTAATATTGTAGTTCAAATCCCTGGCATAAGAAGACTTAGAAGAAAAAAATAGGTACAACTACTTTAACTCTGAACATTCAACTTTGACCCCAGTACAAACCCATAAAAAAGAACTCCCAACTATTCCAATGGTAAAGTGAAGTCAAAACAATTTTAGACACCTGACTGGAACCATCCTGCAAGGAACTCTGCCTTCTAAGTTATCCACAGTGAACTTTTCTACCTTCAAAAATATGTCCAAGGTTGACAGACATTATATATTTTTTAAGCTTTGATTTCAATTCTAGTTAACACACTGTTATATTAGCTTCAGGTGTACAAGATAGTGATTCAACAATCCATTACATCACCTAGTGCTCATCATGACAACTGCACTCCTTAATCTCCATCATCTATTTCACTCATCCCCCACCCCTCCTTTCTGGTAACCATCAGTTTGTTCTCTATAGTTAATAGTCTGTTTCTTGCTTTGTCTCTCATTTTTTTCCCTTTGCTCATTTGTTTCTTAAACTCCACATGAGTGAAATCATATGGTATTTGTCTTTCTCTGACTGACTGACTGATTTCGCTCAGGATTATACTCTCTAGCTCCATCCATGTCATTGCAAATGGCAAGACTTCATTTTTTTATGGCTGAATAATATTCCTTTTCATATATATATGAAAGGACACACACACACACACACACACACACACACACACACACACACACACCACATCTTCTTCATCTATCCATCAATCAGTGGACACTTAGGCTGTTTCCATATCTTGGCTATTGTAAAGAATGCTGCCATACACATAGGGGTGGTGCATGTATCCCTCTGAATTAGTGTTCTTATATTCTTTGGGTAAATACCCAGTAGTGCAATTACTGGATTGTATGGCAGTTCTATTCGTAACTTTTTCAGGAACTTCCATGTGGCATTCCCAAGTGGCTGCACTAGTTTGCATTCCCACCAACAGTGTACAAGTGTTCCTTTTTTCCCCACATCCTTGCTAATACCTGTTGTTTATTGTATTTATTTTAGCCATTCTGACAGGTGTGGGGTGATACTTCACTGTAGTTTTGATATGCATTTCCCTGAGTGACGTTGAGCATCTTTTCATGTGTCTGTTGGCCATCTGGAGGTATTCTTTGGAGAAATGTCTGTTCTTGTCTTCTGCCCATTTTTAAATTGAATTCTTTGTTTTGGGGGGTATTGAGTTTTAGAAGTTCTTTATACACTTTGGATACTAATCCTTTATCAGATACGTCATTTGTAAATATTTTCTCCCAAGTAAGTTGCCTTTTAGTTTTATTCGTTTCCTTTGCTGTCAGAAGCTTTTTATTTTGATGTAGTCCCAATAGTTTATTTTTGCTTTTGTTTTCCTTGCCTCAGGAGATATATCTAGAAAAAAGCTGGTAAGGCCAATGTCAGAGAAATTGCTGCCTGAGCTCTCTTCTAGAATTTTAATGGTTTCCTGTCTCACATTTAGGTTTTTAATCCATTTTGAGTTTATTTTTGTGTATGGTGTAAGAAAGTGGCCCAGTTTCATTTTTCTGCATGTCGCTGTCCAGTTTTCCCAACATCACTTGTTGACGAGACTTTTTCCCCATTGGATGTTCTTTCCTACTCTGTCGAAGGCTAATTGACCACAGAGTTGTAGGGTCATTTCTGGGTTTTCTGTTCTGTTCCATTGATCTGTATGTCTATTTCTGTACCAGCACCATACCGTCTTGATCACTACAGCTTTGTAATATACCTTGAAGTCAGGAACTGTGATGCCTCCAGCTCTGCTTTTATTTTTTCAAGATTGCTTTGGCTATTCAGGGTCTTTTGTGGTTCCATACAAATATTAGAACTGTTTGTTCTAGTTCTAGGGAAAATGCCATTGGTATTTTGACAGGGATTGCATTAAATGTATAAATTGCTTTGGGTAACATAGACATTTAACAAATTTGTTCTTCCAAACCAGGAGCATGGAATGTCTTTCCATTTGTTTGTGTCATCTTCAATTCCTTTCAACACTGTTTTATAGTTTTCAGAGGAAAGGTCTTTCACCTCTTTGGTTACGTTTATTCAGAGGTATTTCATAGTTTATGATGCAACGGTAAATGGGATGGTTTTCTTAGTTTCTCTTTCTTCTTATCATTAGTGTATCGAAATGCAACAGATTTCTGTATACTGATTTTGTATCCTGTGACTTTACTGAATTCATTTACCAGTTCTAGAAGTTTTTTGGTGGAATCTTTAGGGTTTTCTATATAAAGTATCATGCTGTCTGCAAATAATTAAAGTTTGACTTTTTCCTTACTGATTGGGATGCTTTTTATTTCTTTCTGTTGCCTGATTGCTTTGGCTAGGACTTCCAGTACTATGTTTCATAAAAGTGAGAAAAGTAGACATCCCTGTTTTGTTCCTGACAAGGAATGATCATATGGTTCTTATCCTTTCTCTTACTGGTGTGATGTATCATGTTGATTGATTTGTGAATATTGAACCACCCTCCGAACCTAAGAATAAATCCTACTTGATTGTAGTGAATGATTTTTCTTAAAGTATTGAATTTTGCAGACATTATATTTTTGACACAAATGTCATGTACACAAACCTTTCTGTGGCCTATTTGTGAAGTTCTATCATAAGAGTATAACTGATTGACACTCTAAAGATTAAAGTTAGAAAAAAAATTGTTTTCACCCACCTCCAGCTACAACGGACATGCCCAATAATTTTTCTTGGAAAAACTACTTTGATGTTAACACTGTCATTGCACCTGCTCATGAAGTTTTGTAACAACACAGGTACATGTGCAAGTTAAAGCTAGCAAATAAACTGGCTTAGTGGTAGAAATGGCATATTACACAGCAGTGAAAGTACAGTCAGTTTTGCTACAGCACTTGTTTTGAACACACGAATTTGTTCCAACACCACTGCTATATTAAAGAATTTGAGCATGATGCAAATTTCACATTTTCTTATATCCAACAGTGATGAACAGAGAAAACTGTACTCAGCCAAACCAAGCTACTTAGGAATACACAAAACACACACCTGCACACACTTTAAACATGTACCAGTGCCTCATTCACATTTGGTGTGGCAACTTTACATTCAACTTCAGACAACCCTCCCTCCACCACACTGCATGAACCCACAAGCCACAACCCTTCCAAGGACCACTTCCACATGCAAACCTCAGCTTTTTTTCAAGGAAAAAAGTCAGATTTTTTTTTTTTTATCACATTCATATATTTCTTAACCACGTAACAGGTGTAAAACTGATATGACTTTGATTAGGTTCCTTTTTTTTTTTTTCAACGTTTATTTATTTTTGGGACAGAGAGAGACAGAGCATGAACGGGGGAGGGGCAGAGAGAGAGGGAGACACAGAATCGGAAACAGGCTCCAGGCTCTGAGCCATCAGCCCAGAGCCTGACGCGGGGCTCGAACTCACAGACCGCGAGATCGTGACCTGGCTGAAGTCGGACGCTTAACCGACTGCGCCACCCAGGCGCCCCACCTTTTTTTTTTTTTCAAATGGCTTTCTTATTAAGTTTTTGAGTGATGTGCCTCAGCCCATTTTTCCCAAGAGCCCTTTTCTTGCTTGATTTTGCATGGCACAAAGGTGATCATTTGGAATGAATATGTTATGCCATAATAGAACTGACTATTAGCAAGCCAACTACTGCTCCATGCCTCAACACGGATAATTTTCAAAAGTCAAAAAATAATAGCAGGGGACGGGGGGCAGGGAGTATAAGATGGAGGGCAACACTAATGGCATTAAGTGAGTTTTTGCTCCTCATGAATTTGTTTGCCGGGGCTCAGGATTGGAGGGCTTCACATATACATCTTGAATATTAAAGAATCAGATTTTCTACTCCTTCCCCTTTATTACACATGAATGCAATAAACAAAATTATTTTTTAAAAGAACATATATGGTACTATTATGTACATAAACAGATGAAATTGATCAACGTATATTTACTGATACATACACCCATAAAGATGAGAATTATAAACACAAATCTCTGAGGAGAGGATGAAAGGGAGGATATACACAGAGATGGGTAAAGGTCTGTTTTGTCAACTGAAGGGTAGGCGTGAGTAGTTTTTATACTAGTTATTCTTTGAAACATGGTGTGGGGAAAATAAGGGGCTGTGAGGTCAAAGGGGTCAAAGCTATTTTCATAATAAGACAAAGACATGATTTGCCTTTTGCATTCTCATTCTTGCAAGAATGTGCAACAGTTTTCCAGTGGTACATGACATTATCATCAAAGCAAACTCCATTCAAAAGCAACTATGAGAACCCATCTATCTTCAATTAAACCAGATGTTAAGAGACTTGCAAAGTGTAGAACCTCACTCTTTTTGTTTGGGAAAAATTATTTTCATAATTATATGCTCCTATCTTAACACATAATTAATTAGTTATTATTTTGAAATGAATGTTTAAAAAATTTTCAATTCTAACTTATAATACAGCAAATATAGATAGAGATGACCTACATAAACAAAACAAAATTTTGTAAAATATAAAGGAGTCCTGAGGCCAAAAAATTTGAGAGCCACATTAAACCTTATACCTGCTTTTATACATGCGCGCGCACACACACACAGAGCTCTTTTGTATGTATGAGCTATTTCATATTAATAAAGGTAAAATAAAATCAGAGTGTAGTAAAGACATAAAGAGAATCCTCTGCCAACACATCAAGTGGAGCCATGTACGGTAAAAGCTGATGACAACAGCGTATCTAAATACAGATGGGACTTACCGATACTCAGTCTGTGAGACACAATCATAAAGTTCCTGGGCAGTGAATTGGACATTTTTATTCACCTGAAAAGAACCAAGATGTAGTTACTTAAAACGCATATGAAGTCAAATGAGCAGAAAGAGCACAATTAGAGTGACCCATATTCTGAAAGAGAATGTCAAGTTTCCAGCGTTTGCATAAAAACAGCAGGAACAATCAGAAGTTTGGTGATCACAATGCTAGGCTAACACCGAACTATGTGTAAAAATACTAGTCCTGTAGTTACAACTTAATCTGTTCAAAGAACCAGAAGTGATCTATGATTCTGGGGTTAGTGGAATTGAGTATTAGAATTAAGTATCATTTTGTAGATCAAGTGGAAAGAAAAAAATGTGTTCTCCTGGAAACACTAAATTCTACTACTACTGGTTCTTATCAATAGATTCAGGCTTCAGGGTGCCTGGGTGGCTCAGTTGGTTAAGCACCGGACTTTAGCTCAGGTCATGATTTCGCAGTTCACAGGTTCAAGCCCTGCATCAGGCTCTGTGCTGACAGCTCAGAGCCTGCCTGAATTCTGTTTCTCTCTCTCTCTCTCTCTCTCTCTCTCTCCCCCTCCCCCACTCTCACTCTGTCTCTCTCTCTATATCAAGAATAAATAAACATCTTAAAAAAAAATAGATTCAGCCTTCAACTAGCCTAGCATTTTAGAAGATTTCTAATGCAGACATTCAATATTTCTTTTCTAAAAAAAAAGCACAAGTTTTTAAAGAAGTTAAAATAATTCTATTTAAAGGACTGAAGCAGGGGCGCCTGGGTGGCGCAGTCGGTTAAGCGTCCGACTTCAGCCAGGTCACGATCTGGAGTGAGTTCAGGCCCGGCGTCAGGCTTCTGGGCTGATGGCACCGAGCCTGGAGCCTGCATTTCGATTCTGTGGCTCCCCTCTCTCTCTGCCCCTCCCGTTCATGCTCTGTCTCTCTCTGTCCCAAAAATAAATAAACGTTGAAAAAAAAAATTAAAAAAAAATAAAATAAAGGACTGAAGCAGATTTGGGGTCACATAAGTAGACTATTTTATTTTAAAGATTTTATTTACTTTTTTTAAGGTTTTTTTTTTATTTTTGAGAGAGAGAGACAGCATGGAGAAGTGCAGGGCGGCAGGGGGGACAGAGGATCTGAAGCGGGCTCCATACTATCTCCATGCTATCAGCAGAGAGCCCCATGCAGGGCTCAAACTCATGAGCCAGGAGATCACAACCTGAGCCGAAGTCAGATGCTAACTGACTGAGCCACCCAGGCACCACTATTTATTTACTTTTCAAGTAATCTCTACACCTAACGTGGGGCTCGAACCTACAACCCCAAGATCAAGAGTCTCATGCTCTACTGACTGAGCCAGCCAGTTGCCCCAGGTAGACATTTTTATTTTAATTTTTTTAACATTTATTTATTTTTGAGATAGAGAGAGAGTGGTGGGGGGAGCAGACAGAGAGGGAGACACAGAAGCCGAAGAAGGCTCCAGGCTCTGAGCTGTCAGCACAGAGCCTGACACGGGTCTCGAACTAGTGAACCATGAGATCATGACCTGAGCCGAAGTCGGCTGCTTAACCAACTGAGCCACCGGGGCGCCACCCGCCCCCCTGCAAGGTAGACTATTTTAAAAGTAGAGGCAACCGTATCTTGTTTATATCCTGAACATTAGAAATAACTCAAGCTGAAAGAAAAAATTATTCAACTCTAACAATACCTGAGTATTATAGTTGACCCTTACTGAAGAGCCTTCACTTTCATTTAAATACTAAGTTTATAAACTGTTGGGAAAGGTCTATTTAGGAAAAAGTTTGATTTACATTTTCTAAAGAAATGTCTTTTTCACACTATCAAGCTATTATGTTTAAACTAATATTAATTAATAATTAAACTAATAATATATTTAAACTAATATGTTTAAGTTCACAAATATCATAATTCAGATATAATTTACAATACTATAAATACAAAAGTCATTGATCATACAAAGATTAGTCATGACACACTTGGAGCACACAGTCAGTGACTGAATTCTATATTTTTTGAGGCTTACTATTGATTTAGGCTATATTCTACTCATGTGCAGGGAGTCTGGAAATTTCCAGAATCTGGAAATTAATAGAAATTCTTTTTTTTTTTTTTAATGTTTACTTATTTTTGAGAGAGAGAAAGAGACACAGAGAGACAAGAACACAAGCAGGAGAGGGGTAGAGAGAAAGGGAGACACAGAATCTGAAGAAGGCTTCAGGCTCTGAGCTGTCAGCACAGAGCCTGATGCGGGACTTGAACCCACGAACTGTGAGATCAGGACTTGAGCTGAAGTTGGATGTTTAATAGACTGAGCCACCCTGGTGTCCGAGAGATTCTTTTTCTCAGATAACTCAAATAGCACAGTGCCTAAATTTTCAAAAATTGTGAATCAGTGATGGAAAACACAACTCTTTCTATAAAATAGGTAACACCATTGAACACTTACTCTGTGTCTGGTACCGTTTGAGGCACTTCATATATGTTAAATTATTTAGTCTTTACAAGAATATCTATAATTTATCTACTGATGTTATTCCCACTTTACAGATGAAGAAACTAAGGCAAAGAGAACTAAATAACTCTTTTTGAGCACACAGTTAATAAGGGGTAGAACCAACATTTGAACACAGGTAGTTTGATCCCAGTATGTGTTCTTTGTATGTTACATCCAAAAAGTTAAATAAAGAGCAAACCAGAAATAAAAGGGAATATATTTTAAAAAGTTTAACTCTATAAGAGATGTGAGACTTGAATGTCACATTCTTTCACTTAGAACATTAAAAAAAAAATTTACACACACACACACACACACACACACACACACACACACGAAAAGAAAGAACACTCAGGAACATGGGCAAACAAACTGAAGATCTACAGAATACTTTCCCTGGATCAGCACTGATGGGGAAAGCCTTCAAGTTACGTGACAAACTACATCAGAGTCACACCTCTAAGCTCCACCACCAGGGCCTATGCTGCTGCTACAGAGGAAACGAAATTATAGCTTTCCTTTTCCCTGATCATCGGCTCTCAAACAGGGGTGATGCTTTCTCGCGAGGGGCCGCTGGTGTATGTGAGCTGAGTGAGGTGTACTCACAATGACTCAGATATTGGGATTTAGCAGCTGAGGAGCAGAGATGCTAAATACCCACCGTGTTCCACACAATGATGAAATGACCTGTCCAAAATGTCAACAGCACCCCTAATGACAAACAATTCTGTGTTGGACAAAGTGTAGGATTATAGAACTCTATGTTTTTACTTCAAGAGTGAAAGAAAAAGTTTAATAGGTCTTTGACAAACTTCTGTGGTATTTAAGAATGTAAAGCAAATGTCAGTTAAATAGAATTCTGTCACATTTTAGAATTCTACCATGTTTATTTATAGTAAAACTTGCTTATGGTGGAAATACGATAAACATGTCAAAATATTTCTCATACCTCATACTTGACTAGGAAGTTATAGAGGGTCTCAACATCTTGAAAATTACTGTTAGGGGCCAAAATCCTAAAAAATAAAATAAAAACAAAGGAATGGGAATGAATGATTAAAAAAATAACACCTTGAACTTTTCCTCAAAATATATCCATACTGTGAGATAATTTATTGTAGGATAAGCTTATTAAAATGTTCACAAACTTTTTGGTTTTTATTTATCTACTAAAAATGATAAAACCATCAGTTTAATTCAACACATCACTTTATTAAAATTTTTTTGCTTATTTATATTGATACTTACATCACCATTTAATCAACAGCCATAAGCATTCTTACATGAAATTTACCTTTTGAGTTACAATAATACATATTTCTCAAAAGGTAGATAGAAATGGAAGGTGCATTTAAACTCCACACCTTCTAAGCAGCAGGTAACGCTTGAAGAGTTCCCACAGAAATGTTCAACCAACCCAAGTGGACAACTGATTAAACTATCAGGCACATAAATCCTAATAAAATATTTCTGACTAAAGTCAAATAATACTATTTGAACTATCAGCATAGTATTCTATGAAAAAGCATGAGTAATCAGAGTATGTCCATTGCTTAAAATAATACTGATTCATAAAGTAACAATGGAAAGGAACATAAATAACATAAAAATAAAAGTATGTAAATAACAGAAACATAAAAACAACAGAGAACAAGGGAAAAATAAAAATAAAGAAGGAAATGAACATGTTTCTCCATCTAGCATTAAAGTATTCATTCTTATTTTTTTATACTAAGGATTTTTGAACCCTTTCATGTTGAAGCCTTTTTTTTTCTTCTGGAAAAAAAAAGGAAAACAGTCCTTTCATTATGGTATAGTGATGATGGGCCTTGCCTGCCTGCCTACATTTTCTAGCTGTGTGACCTCGGGGGAGTTGTGACTTCTTCGCCTTCATGTGTTAAATGAGGATGGTAATAGTCCTCACTTCATAGTATTCTTATCAGAATTAAATGAGTTCCTTAAGAAAAAAAGCCTTTATAACAGTGTCTGATAGACAGCCAGCACTATATATATTATCAATTATAATAGTAACATAACTATTACCATCTAATAGTTTCAGGCCACAGAGTAACTGCACAATGATCTAACTAATGAGAAATCAAGCTACCTCAATTAATTCTTAAAATCCAAGTGCCTTTTACTTACAATGTCTGAGGTCCTCACATCCTTGCCAACGCTTGATACCTTCGGACTTCAGAGTTAACTGATCTCAATAACCTTAATCAGATCTTTACACGATTTGGCTTTTATTAGACTTGTGGGAAAGCTTTCATAAATCATTTTTCAGGGTACAAATTTTTAAAGGGGCTAGCTATACTCTGGAGGAGATACATACAGAATACAAAAATCTGCACAAGAATACTAGTTTCATGGAAAAAAACTTTTCTCCCAACAAGTAATTTTAAAATACAAATAATCTCTGGTTGAGTGTCCTACTCTTGATTTCAGATCATTCAGGTCATGATCTCACGGTTAGTGAGTTCAAACCCCATGTCTGCTGTTAGCACAGAGACTGCTTGGGATTCTCTCTCTCTCTCTCTCTCTCTCTCTCTCTCTCTCTCTCTGTGCCCCTCCCCCACTTGCACTTGCTCTTTCTCTCTCTCAAAATAAATAAACAAATTTTAAAATACAAATAATCTCCTAACCAAAAAAAAGGTGGGGAGAGAGAAGGATAGTACGTGAGGGAGAGTCCATAATTTCCTTTAAACAATGAAAACAAAGCAATCTAAATAAACTAATCTTTCAGAAAGGCAACGGAAGAAAATAACATGTCCTACTTCTGTAACCAAATATAAACAAACTATCAGCAATGTGGAATAATTTACATCTATTCATTTTATAGTTCTGGATTATTTCCAATAAAGATGGTAAGAAAATTAGATGAAACAAGATGTTTTTTATTAAAAGCCTTAAAAATTCCAAGCCAATATCACAGAAGAAAGTACTTTACCAGAGAATAAAATGAACATTTCTTTGTCCTGAAATACTTCACAGAAAAACTGGTTTTAGGTAAATTAGTCATTTATCTATAGCAACAAGTCCTACCCAAAGTAAGAAATAAAGAAAATAATTACATCATCCTAGTTTTCTAATTAGCAACAAACTGAAACAATTTTAAACTCTCAACTTGGTTTTATTTTCTTTTCAACAGTTTTACTGAGGTACAGTTTACATACCATAAATTCACTCATTCAACAACTCAATGATTTTTAGTAAGTTTACAGAGCTGTACAACGATCACCACGATCCAATTTCAGAATTTCCTTTACCCCAAACAGTTTCCTACTGCCCACGTGCAGTCACTTTCTGTTCTCGCCTCCAATCCCAGCTCCAGGCAGACACTAATCTACCTTCTGTCCTTACAGTGTGGACTTTTTGGACTACATTGTTTTCTCAGTTTGTAAGTTCTCTCCCTCTTATCATTACAAAGCACAGCTGTGACTATAAATGATATCACACTATAATTCAGAGTCCAGTGGATGAGTCAAAATCTAGTGGATAACAGCTAAACCCCACAATGTATTTGGTAAGTATAAAAAAGCAAGATGCATACCAAAGATGCCCAAAAGCAGAACAAGAGACCCTTTATTCTCTCATTCAGCAAATATTTGGGATCTACTACGAGCCAAGCTCTGCTCTAGGCTCTTGGATACATCAGCGAACAAAAAGACAAAGACACATGGTAGACCAATGCATCAGAACTCTAAAGGGCTTGTGAAAGAAAAAAAATCCTGACCAAGCACAGGAAGATAATGAAGGAAGAAAAATATCTCATTGTTATGCATTTGACAATCTCTTTCCACTTGTTAATTGCTACTTGTAAACAAACAAGTTTCTAGTGATGAAACACAGGAATTTTAAGTTTCTAAGGAAGAAGTCATTTGCTCCAAATATAAAGATTTGATTATCTCTAAATATCACAAAATTATATTCTAATGAAGAAAGGTATACTGGTATGTCAGCATCATTCACAGATATATTACTTTTATCAGACTAAAACTACACATACCATTCTTTTAAACTAGGATATACGAGACTCATTATAAAATGTACTATTCTTTTTCCCTTTAAAGTTTACTATTCTTAAAGAATGTTTTAAGGTAAACTGAGCCCTAAATGGACAACCTTTATTAAAATACATTCAATTTAGGGTTGAAGTTAGACTTCATTGTGTCCTATGAACTCTGAGTTTATGAGAATGGAATTTGGCCTGATACTAAAAGAACTGCCAACTTTCACTAACTAGAAGTACAGTTTGTTGAAAATAAAAAAAAAAACTAAATGGAGAAAAACGGTTTATGGACTTGTATGCCTTAGTTAATTCCCCACACAGAAATTCTTCAGAGGTCAGCTTTCTCTATAGCTTTCTCATTTTTTTTTTCTTATATCAATGTGAAAACAAAAGACGCTTATAATGGAAGTCCTAAAATTATCCTCCAGTGGCAACTTTTTAAAATAACAGAATGAAGAAATTAGCTCTTAAAGGAAATGCTTTTTCAGAAAATGGCCATTTTTAATTTATAAAAATGTCCACACTTGTCTTTTCAAGAGAAATTCACAATCATCAATAAGTACTTATCCAATGCATACTATTTTCTCAAGTGGATATTTTACTAAAATAATACTAGCTATGAATAGAAGAGAAAATTAAAAAACATGGTTGCCTATCTTCAAGTTGTTTACAACCTGGAAATTTCACTTTGGAATTCTGGAATCAGAACTGGGGAACAGACATCGGAAACAGGATGCAGTTCTCAGCTCATAGATTATTTATAACCCGTATCTGATCTGAATGCACTTGAGTTTCTTTTAGAACAGCATCAATAACAACATATAGTGTCTTCCTGAACACTTAGAGACTGACGCTGTTTTACATACTACATACATCATCTCTAATTCTTTTACAACCACAAATTCAGTTACATGACCTTGATCAAATTATCTGCTTTTCTGCACCCCCACTCCTCACCTGTGAATGAGGAGAAAGTAGTAAATATTACCAGTTTTCAGATATAGAAATCAAGGGTGAGAGTGGTAAAAACTTGCCCAAGATTATACAGAGTGGTGGTAAGCATCTCTCTATTGGTTTGACTCTGGAGCCCATGCTTTTTCCACTAATAAAATGGGTAACCACCACTATCTTCTTGCCCTTAAATGATTTTATAAAATCAAATGAAATAAAGTTTTTTAAAAAAATTTTTTTAATGTTTATTGATTTTTGACAGAGAGACAGAGCATGAGCAGGGGAGGGGTAGAGAGAGAGAAAGACACAGAATCCAAAGCAGGCTCCAGGCTCCAAACTGTTAGCACAGAGCCTGACGCGGGGCTCGAACTCACGGACCGCGAGATCATGACCTGAGCCGAAGTCGGATGCTCAACCGACTGAGCCACCCGGGCGCCCCTAAAGTTCTTTTAAAATAGCTAAAGAGGGGTGCCTTGGTGGCTCAGTAGGTTAAGTGTCTGACTCTTGATCTCAGCTCTGGTCTTGATCTCAGGGTTGAGTTCAAGCCCTGCTCTGGGCTCTGTGCTGGGCGTGAAGCCTACTTAAAAAATAATAGTAATAAAATCAAAATAAAACACCTAAAGAATTTTAAATGTAAGCAAAGAAACGCTTTAATTTGCCTTTTACCAAATGCTTCTGGTAAACTGTTTTATGTATGTTCAAACATTTGATCTTTGCAGTTGTTTTGGTTTTCTCAAAGCCACAAAGGAAGTTAGTACCAGAACCAACACTCAACAAAAGTCCTGACACTTAACCACAGAAGCACTTTGAATTTTCTTTTTATCTATAAGCAATTATCATTAAGTAAGCAACATGTTAATCTCAATTACACAAGTTTCATTTCCATCTTGTCCAATATCAATACATCTCTTTAAAAAAAAAAAAAAAAAAAGAGGGGCGCGCCTGGGTGGCTCAGTCGGTTAAATGTCTGACTTTGGCTCAGGTCATGATCTCACTTTTCTTGAGTTCGGGCCCCATGTCAGGCTCTGTGCTGACAGCTTGGAGCCTGGAGTC